TAGCGCAAGAGCTTATGAATACACAAAAGACGTAGGAACTAAGCCCCAAAAGGGCTAACAGGAGTACATCTGTTGCAAGCAGATTTAGGTAATTTACTTAATATATCTGGTATCTTATTTTCATTTATTTAATCAGATATCTTGACATATCACATAGATTATTATACTGTATATCTCTGTTCATCAGTAAGTGGACAATAAAGCACATTGTTAAAAACGGTGACCATGAGGGTGGCCACACTGCATTAACTTCGAACATAATCTTTGTGTCTGCCAAACTGCCAAATATTTGTATCCAAGTCTAAGCCTGGCCACTACAACATCAGTCAGTCTCTTCACATTACAAGTTGCTCAGCATGCTCAGCATGGCAGCATGATCAACGTTGTCAGCGGTGGAAGTGGTTATAGAAGTTACAGGAGCAGTTGCTTGGGCAGGAGACAGGTCTGCAGGTGCAGTAAAGTTCAGGGCGTTGGGAAGGATCTTGAGGATGTCTGCTGAAGGTGTGGAGTCCGGAAAATTGAAGGCAGGCATGTTGTTCAGACGGAATAGTTCGTTAATAGTGGTGTTGAAAGTGCCGGGGTTTGCTGCGTTTGCAAGGTGTGCATAACAGGTATACAATACCGACAAGATGAAAGTTAAGACACTTGTGCAACATCTGGTTATCTTTATTGTAAACGTTTCGCCATCCAGTGGCTTTATCAATACAAATTCTTGGACATAATTAGAAAACAGAAGAACAAGTGTCTTAACTTTCATCTTGTCGGTATTGTATACCTGTCTTGCACAACTTGTCAGGCACTGCAACATCATGGTATCTTGATTCAGAGGACATCTAAAGGACCTTCTTCACGACTTCTACAACTAGCCCATCAATTTGGGAAGGACCTACTTCCACTGGGGAATCCCGCCTACCAGTGAATATGCCCTCGTCTGCTACTCGTCTCTCTTCACTGACGCCTATATAAGCGCCAGTCTCCTTACCCTCCCTACGATTCCCGTTGGGGAGGGTAACCTCTACCTGTTCGACAATGTTCGCACATCGTGTTAAAATCAAACCAGCCAGTGGTGTATAAATGATTCCACTAAACTATTACTTGCTGCCGCTATGAGGACCTGCCTACATCTCAAATTCACAGCGATCCACTCACTCAAGGATTCCTTTATTGTCGTCTGCACCGACGAAAATTTGAAGCAGCTAAACTTATGGACGACACACTGCAATGAACAAATAGGGGACCGACAATTCATCATATCACCGTCTCCCTCCTTGCTGGCGAAACGTTCAGTTTTTGTTAAACAGTTGGATAAGATAATCACATCTATTCCAACGGATGAACTGAAGACCTCTATCAAAGACCAAAACACCTGGGCCTCTGTAGACACCATCACAAGCCCAATTCCTAATGCCTCATCTATGATCAAAATCACCTTTTCAAACATAGATATGGCTACCCAAGCACTCGCTAATGGACTAGCTATATCATATTACCACATCCACGCCACATTGAACCTGAACGTTTTGCCCATGTCTCTCCCTGTTGGAACTGTTACTCTTATCAACATTCAACAAAGGACTGCCCCATTAAAGACAAAAAGTTCTGTTCTACCTGTGGAAAAGAAGGTCATAACTTCAAAGCCTGCACCACCACCAATGCCACTCCAACATGTCTTAACTGCAAGGGTACTCATCATACCCTTGCAGCTAAATGCCCACCAAGAAGAATAGTCCCAAATCGCCGACATATACCGCCATTTCAAAACTCCAGTCGGACACCACCAGAATTCTACAAGCCACACAGCAGTCATCTCTATCCAGCAATTCCCTTTCTGCACTCCCTGACGCTGCTCCCTCTAAGGTGTTGTACTGCATGATGTATGCACACCTTGCAAATGCAGCAAACCCAGGCACATTCAACACTACAATTAACGAACTATTCCGTCTTAACAACATGCCGTCATTCAACTTTCCTGACTCGCCAACATCACAGGACTTCCTCAAGATTATCCCAAACATCGCTAACTTCACATCAACTTCAGACCCAAATCCTAACTCTGCCCCAAAAACACTCCTGAACCACCCCATGACCACTGCCACCTCTCAACAACCACCAACAACCAGCCAGACATCAAATACTCTAGACTCCCCAGCCTCCTTTTGACACAATCACTTAGAAAACAATTGAACAAGAATTTCCTGACGACCCCCGACGAAGCAGATAGCGACGACTCCAGCACACCCTCTTGGGAAAACCTTACTTTCTACACCTCTCCCTCGAACGCTGACACCATGACCTGCTCTGAACTCTACAAAGGCCTCGGGGATGGAACAGTCAAGTAAGCCTGCGAATCACCTCTTCACTTCACACTCACGCAAGTTCTTGAGTTCATCAAGCCTCTTCGTTTCACTTTTTCCAACAAGACAACGCTGTACCACCTCTCCAGGAGCAGCTTCAAAAATTTGCAAATGGCTCCACTGCAAACCTGCCTCCTCAACTACTTAAAAAAAACCTCCCACATGTTCTGCTGCCCTCTCCTGCGACCTTTGGGAAAAATTTTAGCTCTCGAGACTCAAAGACCTCACCTACCACAGACTGGTAGGTAAGAACACATAGGCAACAGATAAAGGGGACTTTGTTTTCCGGGGGGTTTCCCCCTACACACAGTGGCTTCTTCAGTACAGAGGGTAGGCGGGAGCAGTGGAGGTGTGGGGACGGTCTGATCGGTCCATCGCCCTTGAAGTCGTGGAATTTGAGGTTGTCAGTCCCTCAGCCTGGAGAAGTTCAGTTCCATACACAGCTCTCTCTCTCTTCCCGTTTTTTCTCCAAGTCTGTCCCACGATCGCCTTAGCTGCTGGGTCAAGCCCTGGCTCTATTTCTACGACTAAGAACACTCCTCTCCAGCGCTATTCTTCATCTGTCCCGTCTTCCCCGCTCATCCCATTGGGATCTTACCTGCACTTGCTTGCTTGCTTACCTATGCTTCAAAATCTCTACAACCACGGTGTTGTAAACACCACCTCCATGGCTGATGGACTGATTACCTCATCTTTTGTATATAGTTCTTCTGTTTTCTAATTATGTCCAAGAATTTGTATTGATAAAGCCACTGGATGGCGAAACGTTTACAATAAAGATAACCAGATGTTGCACAAGTGTCTTAACTTTCATCAAGGTGTGCATACACCATGCAGTACAGAACCTTGGAGGGAGCACCATCGGGGAGTAGAGAGAGTTGCTGGGCGATGGTGCCTGTAGATAGGCGTGTAGTCTTGGTGGTGTCGGTTTGTGGTTTAGTTATTGCAGCGTATGTTGGTGAATTGGAGGTGCTCTTCAGAACTTGCGTTTTCTTCAATATTTCTTTCTGAGTGGGCACTTAGCTGCAAGGGTATGATGATTACCCTTGCAGTTAAGACATGTTGGTGCTGTAGTAATGGTGCAGGATCTGAAATCGTGTCCATCATTCCCACATTTTGAACAAAACTTCTTATTCTTGATGGGGCAGTCCTTGGTGGTGTGTTTATAGGAGTAGCAGGTCCAGCAGTGAGAGATGTGTGTGAAACGTTCTTGTTCTATATGACTTGGATGAATGTGGTAATGAGATGGCCAGACCGTCAGAGAGAGCTTGGGCAACCATGGAGACGTCTGAGAATGTAATCTTCAGCATAGATGAGGCGTTAGGGATCTTGGAGATGCTGTCTACCGAGGCCCAGGTGTTTTGTTCCTCAATAGATGTCTTCAGTGCTTCAGTAGAGAGACAGGTGACGATATTGTCCAGTCTCTTCACAAAAACCGAACGTTTCGACTTCAAGAATGGAGACGGGGATAGAGTGAATTGTTGTGTTTGTAGGGTCCTGATTGAAGAGTCGTCCATTAGTTTTGATGCAAACGACAATGAAGGAGTCCTTCAGAGAGTGGATTGCCGTAAATTTGACCTGCAGGCAGGTCCTAAAGACGGTAGCTAAAGCTAACTTCGAGGAGTCATTTATTGCACAATTCACAGGCTTGATTTTCACACGATGCGACAGCATTGTGAAAAGGATGTGACGTTTGTAGAATATAAATAAGTGTCTCAATCTTCATAAATTTCCCACCCGGCGGGGTCGAAGGGAGGCTTCTTGAGTGTAGAGCAACTGTGTGATCGGCCAGAGCACGACGGACCAGGAGTAGTAGTGGTAGTGGTAGTAGCGGTAGTAGTAGTAGTAGTAGTGGTGGTAGTGGGGAACTAAGGAGGAGGAGGAGCCAGTCAAATATAAAGAAAGGGGAGCACTCCAAGGGAGCTAGGTGCCCACAGAGGGAGAGCAAGTGCACAGAGGTGGGAGAAAGGGGAATTGATGAAAAAATAATGAAGAAACAGAAACACACGACAGAAGAAAGAAAGATAAAAAAAAAGGAAAGAGGAAAGGGGAAGAGGGAGAAGAAGAAAAATGAGGAATCAGGTTAAGTCACGGGTGTTCTGAAGTTTGGAGCATTTTACAATGTAGTGGGAGAGGAAGGCATCTAGAGAGACGAAGCCAGGACTACGATTCATACAAGGAAAGTTGTGTATTAGAGAGGATTCAACAAGACGGCGACTGTTATACTGTATTATACTGCGTATGTTTTTATATTTCCATTGTCGGTATTTTATACCATTTATTTCCAGGCAAGAACCTTGGGTAGCTTTAAATATAGGTTGGACAGGTACATCTGTGAGTGTGGATGGGCTTGAGTCAGACCTGCCTAGCCTTTACCAGTAGACCAACTGCAGTGTTCATTCTTATATTCTCAAGTTTTTGTGCTGGGTAAAAGGACACAAGTGCAACTAATGCGACGTATTATTGTGGCAACGTTTCGCTCTCCAGGAGCTTTGTCACATTAGCTGCACTTGTGTCCTTTTACCTAACATATTGTCGGTAATTCTACCATCATGTTTTTATGTTTTGTTGTGTGTGTGTGTGTGTGTGTGTGTGTGTGTGTGTGTGTGTGTGTGTGTGTGTGTGTGTGTGTTTGTTTGTTTGCAGGTTCCTGTCGAAACAAGCGGCGGGGCACGGGGTTCACCGTGGGCTGCCTACCACCAGTGAACCCTCCAGGAAACATGCCCATTTTAATGACCTCTGGGTCAGAATAGATCCACAGCCTCCAGAGTAAGTTCTCTTTAAGGTTTTGTAAACACGTGACCTGTAGGTCAACATAGACCCTCAGGCCCCAGAGTAATGTAGATAAATGGTTCAGAGAACCGACGGGTTGATAAATTAGACACATGTGCAACATTTGTCCATCAGTCTTTTCAAGATAGATGGACTGATTACATCGACTCCAGACTGAGGGACTGATTACCTCAAACTCCTGATCTTCACCATTCTCCTCTGTATGTCCTAATGAAGCCACTGTGTGGCGAAACGTTTCCTCAATAAAGATACTCAAGTGTTGCACATGTGTCTAATTTTTCCCCAGGGTAAGTTCTCTCAAGTGATTTATAAAGAAGTGGTATATGTGGCTTTCTTCCTCTACCACCATTAAATATTACCTGTGAGTAAGGTAAGTAACACATCTTTGTTTCATAGCATTTTAAAAAAAGCTTTACTGTTCACAGATATATTGTTCTCTGGAAGTGTTTCCCAAGCATTAGTAGAGACTCATTTAAGGTCATATTCACTCTGTTATTTGCATCAGTGACACCTCAGACTAATTTATTAAATCTGAATATAATATCAATACTGTTATAAAACTTGGTAATTGATACCGACATATTGGTTTAAAAAGACACTAGAACAAACATTAATACATAGAAAACGTTTCGGTCCTGGGACCTTCACCACTCCTAACAGTTTTAAAATAACAGTATGTGCAAGACAGATATACAATACCGACAAGATGAAAGTTGAGACACATGTGCAACATCTGGTTATCTTTATTGTAAACGTTTCGCCATCCAGTGACTTTATCAATACAAATTCTAGGACATAATTAGAAAACAGAAGAACTATATACAAAAGATGAGGTAATCAGTCCCTCAGCCATGGAGGTGGTGTTTACAGCTATATTATATTTTATATAATATAATATATATATATATATATATATAATATATATATATAAAAAAATATA